ACGCGCATCCTGCATGGAGCCGACGATGGGCAGATCCGACTTGACGAGCGACTTTTTGCATGTGAGCACGATGCGGTTGCGGCTGGGATCGACGTCGAGTACACGCGCCTTGACCTGGAGGCCCGGCTTGAATCGCTTCTCGGGCTGGGTGAGCTTGACGTCGGCAAAGTGGTTTGCGAAGACGACGCCGTCGACGTGGCCCTGGAGCTGGAGGAAGATGGCGTTGGGCAAGCCGAGCTTGATGATGGTAGCGTTGACCACCTCGCCGACCTCGACTTCCGACACGCGCATGAACTTGCGCTCGAGCACGGACGCCTTGAGCGAGAGCTGGAGGGTGCGGTCGGTGGGCGAGTGGCCGACAACACGGGCCTTGTGCTCGGTGCCCTTGCAGAATGGACCGCTGGATGGCGGCAGCGCAACAACGTGGTCGTCCGAGACCTGGGAGATGTGAACAAAGCCGCGCAGATCGGTGCCTTTCACCGAGACGATGAGGCCCCAGTCGGTGACGGTCTGCACGACGGTCACCTTGATTGGGGTGCCGATGGGGTATGCGTGCTGAAGGAGCTGCTGGTCCTTGGCGACGGGTGCCTGGAGCGAGAGCACCTGGGGAGCGAGGGAAAGGCCAAACTTGCGCTCGTGTTCCGGGTTCTCACCCTGCAGCGCTGCCGAGGGAGGGCTAAGCAGGTCCCAGAGGACACGAGCGACGTGCTTGGAGCCCTCCTTGTATACGTCTGGAATGTCCTTGCCCTCGGGCAGCTCGGGAAGGTGGAACCGGTCGATGGTTGCGTCGAACATGCCGAAGAGCTTGACGTTGAGGCCGGTGGGGAGCGCGGCAGTGACGAGAACCTTGGTGAGGGTGCCGGGGAGGACGGCGGTGATGCTGGGGACGTGCTTGATCGGGGTGGTGGAGACGGCCTTGGGGTCGAGCGTAGCCTCGAAGCTGCGCTTGTTCTCGGGGACCTTGGTGATCTTGGCGAAGACGACGCTGCCAACCTGGAGCGACTTTCCGTTCTTGCCTGCATGGAAGTTTTCTGGCAGCTTGGCGGCTTCGGCGAATGAGACGAATCCGCGGAACTCGCCGATGCCGCTGTCGAGGATGTAGCCGTGGTCCTCGACGCTCGAAATGGTGGCCGAGAGAGTGGCACCGGCATCCAGGTCGGAGACAGACACGCCAGCGTTGACGAGTTGGGGAGCGAGCGAGAGCTCGACACGACGAGACTCCTTTTCGTATTCACCGCCCTCGCGCGTGGGGCGGCCCCTGGCGACGTCTCCGCCGCGAACCTGGACGACGCTGGCGACGAGCCACTGACCGACGTGGAAGAGGTCACGCAGCTCAGGCACCTTCTTCTTGGAGCGCTTGTTGGAGGAGCTGGCGGCGTCGTCATCGTCATCGTCACTGTCGCTGTCTGCGTTCATGCTCTCGTCGTCGTCATCGGACTCTTCGGCCGCAGCGTCGGCAGCGGCCTGCAAGCGTTGTGTGAATTGAGGGCTGATCTGGGTGACGGGGATATGGCCGAGGAGCTGGTTTGGCAACGAGACGACGACGGCGAGCGGGTGGACGGCGAGCACGGAGCAGAGCAGCTTGGAGCCGGGGACGAGACGCTTGTAGTTGATGTGCTCGATGCGGATGTGGTCCTTCTTTTCGGACTGTGATGCGGAGGCAGAAGCAGCGGCTGCAGCGGTGGTGGAAGTACGCTTCTTCTTTGCATCGTTGCGCTTTTCTCGGTTGTACTTCTGCTTGTTCTTCTTGCGCTTGGCCTCTGCCTGCTCGTCCTTTGCGTCCTTGAAGAGGAGCTCGTTGGCGGCGGACTCGGAGCGCGCCTCGCGCTTTGCCTCGCGGAACTCGAGTGCGGTGAGACCAGAGCTTCCACCACGAGGGAAGTCGACCTCTTGGGCCGAGAGAAGCGACGAGGAGGGTGCGGAGGTTGCGGCGGGAGCGGATGAAGCACTCTTTGACTTTTTGGTGTGGCTCGACTTGGAGGAGCTGGCGGCGGCGGAAGATGCCGGCGCATCCTCTGCAGGACGAGACCGCTTGATTCCAGGCATGGTGTCGGAGTGACCTGAGACTCAAGTGGTGATGAGCGTGGTGATTCAAGAAAGAGAAGAAGCAGCCTTGCGTGGTTCGAGTGAATCGTTGGCCTCAGCGAGCCACCCACAAACTTCCAAGGCTGGGCTGCGCAGAAAAAAAGTGTCGAGCAGCAACAGGCAAGAAAAAGGAAAAACGCACGAAATTTTTGGTTTGCCGCCTTTCGCTCGACCCTTTTTCCGAGGCTTTTCGGGAGACGGGAGAGAGTTTTTAAGTTCAAAATGTCCACAACTACGACATAACATCTCTGACGATTTTTCTGCAGTCGACAGATTGATTGATGTCTGACATCTCGAAGGAAGGACGTCTCGAGACCAATGACGGAGCAGCGGCTTCAGTGCTCGGACCTGTCGGGTGTTGGACGCAGTGTGAGGAGGAGACTTCGGACCCACGGGCCGACAGCGTAGAGGATGCCACGGAGAGCACATGGCAGTCCCCCACGCTCATGCGGTCAAGGCTTGCTTCTTGACGGAAGCTCGGCCGCGGAGCACGATAGGAGTTAGGATCGTGAGGTGCTGCAGGAGCTGCACGGCTGTACCGTGATTGTGTGTTGAGCGGCAGGCAGGCGGTCCGCCGTCTATTCCAGCCGACTGTGGCGTCGGTCGATGCATGGAAGGAGGTGTTGAGACTCGGTGAGGGCACTGAGGCGCGCCGAAATTCGCCGGGAAAATCGCCTATCAAAAGCCGGGGTGTGCAACACAGGCGAATGAGCTCACGCCGGCCCACTATTGGCTTGCATTACCGCGTCACTGTATTCGACCTTGGCCCCACACATCACTCCTTCATCTGCTGCCACCACCTTGCTTCAACATGGCTCGGTCCAATGGCACCGTCGACGAGAGGTCGGCACTGCTGACCTCTCACAAGGACAACAGTGCAACGTCGAGCTATCGTTCAACGTCCGACAACCGAGACAATGACGGCGTTGACTCGTCGTCGCTGTCCTCGTCACCCACAGAGAACGACAATGGAGGCGAAGAGGATCACGTCAAGGTCATGCCGCCGTTGAGCAAGCTTGCACCGCTGCTCACGGCGCTGTGGGTACCCGTGTTCGTGGCGAGCATGGATGGCACGGTGACCGCCACACTCATCTCGAGCATCAGCAGCTCCTTCAACGCGTCCGAGCAGGCGCAGTGGCTCGGATCCGCCTACCTCCTCTCGGTCGCCTGCTTCACCCCGCTCTACGGCCGCATGGCAGACATTATCGGACGCAAGAACTGCATGTACACCGCCCTCACCTTCTTCACCACCGGCACCCTGCTCTGCGGTCTGTCCACTTCGATGAACATGCTCATCTTTGCGCGTGCCCTGGCAGGCATGGGCGGCGGCGGACTTACCACCACCACCAGCATCGTACTCTCCGACCTCGTTCCGCTCAAGCAGCGCGGACTTCTCCAGGGGCTCACGAACATTGTCTTCGGACTTGGATCAGGCCTTGGAGGGCCTATCGGCGGCTGGATGAACGACACGCTCGGATGGCGACGCGCTTTCCTCATCCAGATCCCGCTGCTGCTGACCGACTACGTGCTCGCGTTCGTATTTGTCAACGTCAAGACGCCCAATTCGCTCGCGCACCAGTCCAAGTGGGACAAGCTCAAGTCGATCGACTTCTTCGGCGCCTTTTCGCTCGTGCTCGGTCTGTCCAGCACGCTCATCGCACTCAGTCTGATGAGCGCCAACGATCTGGCCATCTCGCACCCTGCGGTCTGGGGAGGTTTCCTTGTTGGACTCGCCAGCATCGTCTTCTTCTTCTACGCCGAGGCTCGCATCGCTCGCAACCCAATCCTGCCGCTGCGGCTCATCACGCAGCGCTCGGGTGCTGCAGTCGCGTTTGCCAACTTCTGCCTGTCGATCGTGTCGTTCGGCACGCTCTACCACTTTCCGCTCTTCTTCCAGGCGGTCAAGCTCGAAACGCCCTCGCTGGCGGGTCTGCATCTGATCCCCAACAGCGTGGCGCTCAGCATCGGCTCGGTGCTGGCGGGCATTGTGATGCGCAACTCGGGCAGGTACTATACCTACAACCTGGTCAACTCGATGCTCATCACCGTATCCATTGTCTGCTTTGCGCTCATGAGCCAGCACAGCTCCGAGGCTTTTACCTATATTTCGATCATTCCGCATGGATTCGGAACGGCGGGCGTGTTAACGTGCACGCTCATCGCACTCATCAACTCGGTGCCGCGCTCGGACGTTGCCGTGGCCACCAGCATGTCGTACATGGCGCGCAACACGGGTCAGATCCTCGGCGTTTCCGGAGGCGGTACACTCTTCCAGGCTCTGCTCAAACGACAGCTGCGACAGAGGATCACGGGCAAGGATGCCGACAGGATCATCTCCGAGATCAGACACAAGACCTCGATCGTCCCAGAGCTGCCCAAGGAGCTCCAAAAGGCTGCCGTCGAGTCGTACGCATATGCGCTCCGCTGGGTGTTTATCGGCATTGCCCTCGTCAGCGTCGGCACCGTCATTGGCTGCGCCTTTATCGAGGATAGGGAGCTGCCCTCGTACGAGAGCGCCAAGCCTGCCTCCGATGACCAAGAGGAGAACAGGTCCAGCTCGTGAAAATTGGCTGATAGGCACTTTCTTATTCAGACTGGCAATGCATAGATGACTGCGACAGCCGTGTGACCGATACGAGTGCGGTAAAGAATCGTAGACGGTTGCATCTGAGGGTACACATTTGCATCTGGGGGGTCCTGAGAAATCGGTATTGAGGGCCGCCGCGTCGAATGGTGGAGAATTGTGATTGCCGGCGCGTAAAGCAGCCGGCAGTCTGTGCTTCTGTGCTTGACGGAAAGTGTTACTTTTAGTCCCGCACCTTTTGCCTCTCGGCGCTTTGCATCGCGCCACCAAGCATTCCTTCCGTGCCCGCAGACACCGACAAACGAGCGCCCACTCCGAGAAGGCATACGATATGGAGGTCCACGCAGTCGCCAGTACCAGCCACTCTGCACCAGAGCCGCGCCCATCCTCGCCATTCCGCAAAAAGCGTCCGCGCCGCATCTATGACGTTGACGGTGAGCCTCCTCGTCTTCTTCAGTGCTCTTGCTCCCTCACCGCTGACACCTGCGACCTCTTCTGATTCTTTGATCGGTAGATCGCAGCACCAAGGTCGACGTTGGCTCGACGCCGGGAACCTCATGGACGCTATCGTCGTACAAGCCGGGCTCTGGCGTAGCCGAGCTTCGGTCTGCGGACCTGACCAAGCTGTGGCAGTCGGACGGCAACCAGCCGCACCTGATCAACATACAATTCGCACGGCGCACGTGCGTCACACACGTCTCCATCTTTCTCGACGTCAAGCAGGATGACTCGTACACGCCCACCAAGATCGCCATCAAGGCGGGCACCAACTACCACGACCTGACGCCCGTTCGACAGCGCACCTTCGACACGCCCCAGGGATGGAAGCACTTTAGCATGACACCTGGCACTGTAGACGCAGCTACGGAGGAGGAAGATGAAGAGCGCGACGAGGCGGATGGCGAGAACGAGCAGACCAACGGCGAGGGGGAGGAGGGAGGGTCGGATGAAGAGGACGAGCAGGATGGTATACGCTTGTGGCTGCTGCAAGTGTGCATTCTCGCCAACCATCTCAACGGCAAAGACACGCACATCCGCAGAATCGTCGTGTTTGGTCCCAAGACGAGCCCCACAGCGTCCACAGGGAAGGGCACGGCTGGCGCTTTGAAACGAATCCGCGACGTCAGTCTTGATGCCACCGCGAACTCACGGTCAAAGTCTCGAACTGCTGTCGGGAACAACGGCTCTGACGTTACGCTTGCCCAGCTGTTGTCACTGCAAACCCAAGCGGATGCGCAAGGCGCGGAAGAGGCCGCCAATGCAGATGCGGCTCCCACGCCACCCCGCAGATCCGCCCTCAATCTCTTCGGCAGTATCCGCTGATGCCAAAACCTCACCGCAATCAAACATAGTCTGACACCGCCGATGTTCGTGCTGCATGATGGTGTCAAGCCACCACATGGCCTGAGAAAGCTATGGGATTCCAACAGTCTTGCGAGCGAGTGGTGTTGATTGACACTTTTGGTGTAGGTACTGATACATGGGCAAACTTCAAAGGCCGGCCTCTGCGACGGCGCCAGCAGCACGCTCGTTGCCGACCCTGCGGACGTACGTGGACGAGACGATGTTGAAGGCCTCAAAGTAGCGTTCCATGCAGCGGGTGAGGCACGTCTGCTCCTTGCCCGACAGGCTCGATCCAGGAGCCGGGATGCACTTGGCGTAGCACTTTTCGGTCGCCTTGGTGATGAGCTGCTGCGCATTCGCCATCGCCAGCTCCGAAGAACTGCCATCCCGATCAAACATGCCGTAAGACCTAAGTCAGCGCCGTGAACTTGGGGTGGGGATCAAGGCGTGGTGAAGAAGGGGTGGGAAAACTTACACCTGCTGCTTGATGGCTTCCTTGCGCTCAGCCGAGGTGGCCGAGCTCGCACTAGCGCCAGTGGCAGACTTGCCTGTTAACGAGCTGAGATCCATGATGTGTGGGTTTGTCGAAGATGGGTTGGGAAGAGGATGTGGAGAAGGAGGGGTGGAAGCCTTCCGCACCAGCGGAGCCGGTCAGACGAGAGGATTCTTGAGCACTCACGATTATGTCACGCTGACTTTGCAGTTACGTTCCTCCACTTTTGGCGATGTTGGCTAAAAATTAATTTTCCGATCGAGGAGAAGAAACGTGCTTGTCGGGCCACTCTGTGTTTGTAAGCGATGCAGTGCAAAGCCGCATTTTTTGCTTGTGCCCGAATTCCGCCGAGCTGAGCCGAGGTCCATTGTGGACCCCTCCATTGCCCGCCGGCTTTGCAATCCACCTTCATCCAACACTCAACCCACCTTCGAGCGTCGGTCGACTGGCATTATCCATCGGTCAGGCGCAACAGGAGCTGCATTTCGACCTCGAGCGTCTCAGGACGGATTCATCGGCGGCTATTCTCGGCTTCACACGACCGAGCTCCGGCTATCTTTCCAAGGGCGATAGGGACATAGCAACCGCCTGCCTGGGGTTGCGAAAAGCATGGTGGTGGCCACAGCGCGCGCTCTGAAACCGTTTAGTGCAGCAGCGGCGGTATCTACGGCGAGGGCAGCGACCGCGTCGACGATATCGACCTCCGCCATGGCGCCCGTGCCGTCGTCGTCGTCGACGTACACCATCCGTGCCGTGGCTGCGTTTGCGCGCAATCTGTTACGCTTCGGCTGTCGCAACGTCACGGTGCGTGGACTGGACCGCTTCCTGGCGCAGCTGCACTCGGCTGAGCGCACGGCATCGTCGCGCGGGCTGCTGACCTACTGCAACCACATCTCGGTGCTCGACGAGCCGACGATCTGGGGCACTTTACCGGCCTCTACCTTCCGCGACCCACGCACGGTGCGTTGGACGCTTGGCGCGAGCGACATCATGTTCACCAACTCCATGCTTGCGCGCTTCTTCCGAAACGGCCAGTGCATCGAGACTCACCGAGGCGGTGGGATCTATCAAAAGGCGATTGACGAGGCGATCAGCAAGCTCAACACTGCCAACTGGGTGCATCTGTTTCCCGAGGGTTATGTGAATGTCAGCACGAGCTCGCGGCTGCGCCGATTCAAGTGGGGAATCGCCAGGATGCTGCTCGAGGCCGAAAGGTTGCCGACCGTCGTACCGATTTGGATCACGGGCTTCGATCGGATGATGCCCGAGCCAAGGGCAAAGCCAAAGTGGCTGCCGCGCTTTGGCAATGACGTGTCGATCACATTCGGCGAGCCTGTGACCGACCAGCTCGCGCCGGTCGTCGAGGCGATACGAGCCACCAATGACATTGCACCCCAGCATTTGCTGCCGGAAGAGCTGCGGTTCGATCCGGCGTCGATCAATCACGCGGATCCAGACGCTGTGATTGCGGATCGATCGGTGCCAACCCAGCTGGCGACCGAGTGGAATACGGCTTCGCTCTTCCAGCGCCCGCTCGAGGCGGGTGACGACTCGCGCCTCGCACTCGCACGCTCGCAGCTCGCCGCCCTGCTCCGATACCACCTCGGCCTTGTAGCTGTCCAGCAACGCACGGCAGACGCCTATCCCAACCCGCAGGAAGACGCACAGCTCGTACACACCGAATCGCTCAACCCGCAAAAGCAACATGCGCAGAACAACGTGCTGCGTGACGGTCAGCGCAAAAAGACCGGCGTCTAAAAAGCCCCTTTCTAACAACATGAACTCTGTATACCCTCCCTTTTTAATCATTACGCTGTTATGGAGACGCTAGAGCTTGAATACGTCTTGCTGTTTTAGGCCGAGATGTGCGAGAGTGCCTCCGAGAGCGCCCTGACTCTGGCCGTCGCGCGACTTTGGTCCTGCCAGCGCAGTGACCATTCCGTCGGGCCCGCAGACGAGCACGAGCGTGCGCGACGCCGCTGTGGGTGCGAGGGTACGGCGCAGGTGATCCTGCGTGATCCTCGACTCGAATACGGGGATCGTCGTCGATGCGCCATCCGTTCCGAGTTGCAGCTTGGCATCCAGACTCGAGCCACTGCCGAAGAATGGAAGCCAGCTTCTGCGCTTGGTGCTTTGTGTCTGCAGCTGCCCGAGCGCTGCTGTCGCCGAGTTGGTGGAAGGAAGATGTTCGGCGAAGAGACTGACGCCGACTTTGTCCGGATTGCTGTTGGCCAGCGCATACAGCTGGGGCACCAGCAAGGCGTTGTCCAGGTCCGGCATGGCGTACAGCACCTCTACGCGCGGTGATGCGGCGTGCGAAGAAGCAGGCCTGTTCGGGTGTCCGAACAGATTGGTAAGTAGCTGATAGGCTGGCGTCACGCCTGTGCCGCCCACAAGCATCACGATCCGATCCGGCAGCTGTGGTGCCGAGTCGCGCTCGAACGACCACGTGTCCACGGGCCCGCGAACTTCGAGCTGCGGTATGCTCGCGTCCGGCACCGCGCGGTGCAAGAATCGACCCAGCTCCCCATCCGGGTAGCGCTTGACCAGCAAGTCGAGCGAGTCCTTTTCTGCTCTTGTCACACCTTCCATCGCCAGCGACGCAGTGCCGGGCAGCGAGTCGTACAGCGGCGTATACGCGCGCTCGATCACCAGGCTCGGCTCCTTGATGTACACGCTCCTAATCCTCAGCCTCTGCGCCAGATCATCCTCCCCGCCCCTGCTGCCCGCCGACACCGACGCGGGCAGAGCCATCTTCAACAGCTTGTGGTTCGAGCTTGTCTTGGCGTCGGGGTAGAAGCTCGACGCCGCGAGTGCCAAGGGGTGGTGGGTGTGCGGCTCGAGCTTGCCGGGGATCGAGTTGGACGTGCGCGACGAGCCCGGAGAGGTGCCAGATAGCGCAGCGTAGCCCTCGAGGAGTTTAGGCGTGACAGCCACGATTGCGGCCGAGGCGAGTAGGATGTGTGGTATGCTGGGCCCCCCGTGCTTTGGCGGCGGAGATGATGAGGAGGACGAGGGGCCTGAAGAGGAAGATGCAAAGTGTCGCGGGCGGCCGGCGTGGGGTAGGCGCGGAGCAAGATTGTGCGGAGCATGGGGGGTGGCCCGCGCTGAGCGCAATCCACGACTCGCGAGCCGTGCTGAAGCGAACAGGTTTTGCATGGTGGGCAAGTACCAGCGCGCCCGCAGATAGGGAAGAGATGATGGAAGCATGTCTTGCGTGTGGAGGCTTCGCAGCTTGAAGAAAGGTCGAGCCGCCTTACCTGACACTGCTCGAAATCATGTGAATGTTAAGTTGGAGATTTGCCCACGTGGGGAAGCGGCTGCAGGGTCGAATCAGCTTCCCAGTCGCCGATATTCCCCGTGAACGCCGCATCCCCAGTGCGAGTCTGGACCTAATCACTTGCCTCCTCCTCCACCACCACCAACAAGCTCTCTTTGCCGGCTCCAATACAGACCAGCGCAAGATGCGACACCGCCCGCTGGCGGCTGTGCTGCTGCTCTGCTCGCTCACCTTCTCGCTCGCACTTTACCTGCGCTTCCGCTCGTACGACCTCGTCTCCGTCGGTCTCTGCCGCGTCGCTCCGCTCTCCTCCTCCTGCTCCTCCGCCGCCATGCCCGTCTCCCCTGCCGAGCTCGACACGCACCGCGTGCACACCGGTCTGAACGGAGGCAAGCGTGGGCGCGTCTCGCTCAGCATCGGCTCGCTCAACATTCGCTATTCGCGCAACGCCGCGTACGACTCGACGCAGTCCATGCTCTCGTCCATCGAGAACCTCATCACCGCTGCGCGCAAGGGTGCAGGCCCCGCGTCGCACCACGTCTTTTCGGAAGGCTCGCCGTATCTCATGCAGCAGTACCACGGCGAACGCAGCTGGCTGCTCCGCGGGCCCAAGGTGGCCGACGTGGCGCTGTTCAACGACTGGGACCTGTTTGCTTTTCAGGAGGTGCTGGATGGGCAGCTCGGCAACCTTGTGCACTGGCTTGGCGAAGGATACGATCATGCCGGAGTCGGGCGCGATGATGGACACCGTGCAGGAGAGGCCGTACCTGTCTTCTGGCGGCGCGACACATTCGAGCGCGTCGGACAGGATCAAGGCGGAGTGGGCAAGGACGGCGTCGAGCACTTTTGGCTCTCGCCGACACCGAGCAAGGTGGGCAGTGTCGGATGGGATGCTGCATTGACGCGCATGTGCACGCACGTCAGTCTGCGGCTGCGCGCCACGCACGAGATCATCCACGTCTATTCCACGCACTACGACCACCAGGGAATCGTGGCGCGCGCAAAGTCGTCGGAACTCATCGTAGAGCGCGCCCGTCGTGCCTCGGCGTCCACACGGGCATTCTATCAGGCCAAGTCGTCCGCGCTGGCGCTGGAGGAGCCCCTAGTGGTGTTGATCGGTGATCTCAACAGCCCGCGCAATGAGGGCAGCTGGTCGACCCTCGTTTCCGCCCACTACGGCATCCCCGCCAACTCGTCCGGTGCTTCCTTCCTCGACACCGCGCTGTCTGTACCCACCCGCTTTGTGTCTCCGCTGCTGACGGATAACGAGGACCCGCACCGAGCCATCTTGGCTTCGGGCCGAAAACTTCCTTCTTCGCCGGGGGACTCTGGTCGCGGAGGACTGCTCTCGGAGCCCGTTGGCCCGCTAAGGACATTCACCGACTTCCAACCTTCGCCAAGGAACGCGATTGACGATCGGATCGACTTCATCATGCTCCTCGACAACGCTGCTGTGGTCGATGAGACGCATCCACATACTCGGCTCGACCACTCGCCATCGCCTCCACCCGCAGGCGCAATGCGACGTTCCGAAGCTGGACAGAGTGATAAAGCCTCTAGATGGGCGATTCGAACGTTCGGCACGCTGCCAAACTGGAGCGAGGGCGACGCAGGATTCCTCATCTCCGACCATCGTCCCATTACGGCCCGCATCCAACGATCCTTCCCCGCACCAGCATAGCCTCATCCAATCCAATGGCATCTTTTGGAAAACATGGACATCACAGACGCGCGAGCGTGGCGAACAAAACTTAGAATGGCTAGAGTACAGTGGGAATCAAACGAGAACCGGCGGGACATGAGAAAGGAGAGGACCATGAGAATGAGACCGATGGCACCGGCGAGAGGAACGGAAGGTAGCGTGTGCGTAGGTGTGGGGAGCAACGCGGGTTGCCGCTGAATGCTGTACCCCTTGTACTACGCCCAGGCAATGGAGCGACAGTCGGCGAAAGTGGCGCGCGAACGATGGTCAGACAGACAGACAAACCCGCATCCTCGCTGTACCACGACGTATAAGTGGCAGGATCGGGTGCCGCCATGCTGTTCTTCGCCGCACACTCCCTCGTCGACAGACTCCACGTCGACAGACGAACTGGACCTCAAGTGGGGGAGATGAACGTGATCGCGATCGGGAAGTGGGGGTGGGATCAACAAACCGCTCACTTGTCCTTCTTGTCCTTCTTGTCCTTCTTCTTCTTCTCGGACTTGGGCGTCTCGCCCGCCGCCGCCGCCTCGGCCGCCTTGCGCTCCTTCTTCTCCTTCTTGCGCTTTTTCCTCTCCTCTTCGGTCTCGCCGTCAATCGCCGCGCCGGGCGTCTCCTCGAGCTTCCTCTTCTTGCTCTCGTCGTCCTTCTTGGCGGGCGTGACCGGCTCGACCACCGCCGCCGCCGCCACCTTCTCCACATCCGAGGCTGCCGCTGCGGCTGCGGGGGCAGCTGCGGCATCCGAGTAATCGACATAGTCCTTCTGCCACTTGTCGGGCGTGACGCCGTTGATGGCCTTGCCGTGCTTGTCGAGCTTGCCGGTCTTGATCATGGCCTTCTTCTCCTGCGCCTTGGGGCCAAGACCCCAGCGGCGCGGGTAGGTGTCGCGCTCCATGATGCAACGCTTGACCTTGGCGACGACACCGTGGTCGCACGTGGAGAGGTCGACGGTGGACATCTGTGCGACGGCGAGCGCGATGGCCTCGCCCTTGGTGGTCATGAGCACCACCTCCTCGTGCACCTCGATGTCCTTCTCGTAGCGCAGCAGACCGGGGATCATGAGCTTGGCGCCGTAGCACACGGCGTTGACCGCCGAGTCCTTGACGACGATGCGCTTGTAGCCGGTGAGCAGCGACTCGAGCGGGCGGATGACGCGGCGGAGGTACGTCTCGTCGCGCTGGTTGTCGTAGAGCCACTGGGCGTCGAGCACGTCGTGCATGGTGACGATCGAGTCGTTCTCCGAGAGCGCACCCGATCGCACACGGCGGAGCTCCTGCATGTGGCCGCCGACGCCGAGGAGCAGGCCGAGGTGGACGCAGAGCGTTCGGATGTAGGTGCCGGCCTCGCAGCTCACCCAGAAGACGGCGAGGTGGCGGTCGTTGTCGAACTCGATGAGCTTGGACTCGTAGATGGTTCGGATACGCAGCTGACGCTTGACGGCGGAGATGAGGGGAGGACGCTGGAAGAGCGAGCCGGTGAGCGTCTCGATGGCGCGGGGCAGCTTCTTGGGGTCCTCGAGCTTGTCGTGGAGGCGGAGGACGGCGACGTACTCCTTACCGGCGCCCTGCTGCGACTTGACGAGACGGGTGGCACGGTCGATGCAGACGATGAGGCAGCCGGTAACCTTGGGGTCGAGGGTACCGCTGTGGCCGGTCTTCTCGACGCGGAGGATGCGGCGGAGCCACGAGACGACCTCGTGCGAAGAAGGGTTGGAGGGCTTGTCGAGGTTGATCACACCCGACTTGACGTAGCTCTGGAGGTCACGCTTGAGCGGCGAGCAGCCGTGCGGGATGGGCGTGAAGTGGGAGCTTCGGACGAGCAGCTGGTCGTAGTTCTTGAGCAGCAGAGGCCAGTCGGCGGTGTTGAGCTTAGGGCCGGAGTTCTCGGGCTTGATCATGAAGTCGCCCTGCTCCTGGGCCTGGGCGACCGAGGTTCCGAGAGGAAGAGCCATGTTGGACCAGACAGAAAGGCGCAAGGAAGCCTTGAGGGTGTATGGTCGGGAGGGTTGGCTGGTATAGGTGCGGAGAGGGTGAGAGGGAGAGGTGGACGATGATCTCCAGGCTGGTGACGAGAGTCCGCTGAGCTTTGTTCCCGCCTCGTTTTTTCGTTCGTTTGCATGCGCTGCGCTCTACCGCTTCATGGCTTGGGCCGCCCCTCTGAACCCTCCTGCACCACAAAAATTCTTCCGCTCTTCAGCGCTTTTTTCTCTAAAATCACAAATCTCATCGAAGCTAGGCGGATCCGCGAGATCAAAATGCTGACTACGCATTGGTCAGATAATCCGGCCACCTTTGTTTCTGTGGTCTAACAAGATTGACAAGAATAATGCGGCTGGGCGTAGAACAGAGGTCACGTGTCTTTCGAGACAGAAACTGTAAAAAATTTAGGCGGCAGCAGAATGGCTCTTTGGCGTAGATGGGGGACTTCTGACGGGTTTGGCGAGGCCTCCGAGGCTGGACAGGGAGGGGCCGTACTTGAGGTCTTTTCCCATCCTACACCATCTCGTCTCGCTTTGCTGATCTCCCAGTAGGCTTATCATCATCAACAATGGCTGTTACCAAGACCACCAAGGCTTCGGCCAAGCAGGGCAAGACCGCCCACAAGTTCTTCATCGACTTCTCGGGCCCCGCCAACGACGGTATCCTTGACGCCGCCGCTTTCGAGAAGTACCTGCACGACCGCATCAAGGTTGACGGCAAGGCCGGCAACCTCGGCGACAACGTCACCATCACCCGTGAGGGTAAGTATCTGTAAACAGGTGGGGCTAGGAATGGCGACCTCAGCATGTTCATTATGCGCTGGGGCTAAGGTGCAGGGAAGACGATGGGTTGAAAGAAAAGGACGTCACAGCAATAGTGCCTACCTCCCAACAGGAGGTTCTCAGCGAGTTGTTTCCTCCTCAGATGCGATTTGGTATACAGCGGCTACCGGTGCACGTCCGGGAGCCTTTGTTGCGAGCGCACCTCTTTCTCTGATCTGGCTCTCTACATCTCAGCCCAGCTATAGATGCCTTGGCTTGAATCGCTCTTTCACGGCCCCACCTCTTCCCCTTCCGCAACTTCTGCTTCGTACAGAAGGTCGCATCGCGCACTCGAGTCGGAGATAGCTGACTCAAGCTCTCTCGTCCTCGATTTCGACCTCTGCGTTTGGTTTGCTCCCTTTTGCTATTTCTGCCAACGTCTCGCGCATTCGCATGTTGCTTGTTGCCCGGCTTCGGCTTGCACCTTGAAACTCATAGGTGAGGGCAAGATCTGGGTCAACACCAACGTTGCCTTCTCGAAGCGCTACCTCAAGTACCTGACCAAGAAGCACCTGCGCAAGCAGCAGCTGCGTGACTGGCTCCGCGTCGTTGCCACCTCCAAGCAGGGCTACGAGATCAAGTTCTTCAACGTCTCGTACGACCAGGAGGCTGAGGAGAACTAAGCGGTCCCTTCTCAACCCCTTACCATGCCTTGGAAGGACGGTCGCCGCCGCTTGTGAGAGCGACGGCGTGTGTTCCGGTACTCCCATCTTGGCCATGTCTAGTTCACTCTCTGATGTAGCCTGCGGGACTTGGAATCACTACCTCAAAAGCCAGGAAAACGGGAGTTCGACTTCCTGACCTGGCACCCTCCCATCTTTTGCCGTCTGTGTGTGTACTCCAAATGAAGCGTGCGTTGAGATGGTGGGGTTCGTCGGCTGAACTTGGTTCGGTTCATGAAGTAGTATGTTAAATCTGCCGTCTGGTGTTCAAGGAGTGGCTCACGTAAAGCGACGCCTGACCTCCTCGAGGAAAGTGCCGATGCGGACCCTGGCTAGGCTGCAGGCGTGCATGACTTGGAGCCAGAGGTGGGTGCGCGCAAGACGGATTTTCGAAACCGCGCTGATCTGCGTTGAAATTCAGCGCGGCGTTTAGACGGGCGAGCAGGCTGAGCCCGCCGCCGCCCTCGGACCTCCACCCGCCAAGGGCGCTGCCCTGTGCACACTTGGCGAGCCCCACCCGCAGCCGGATCTCCCCACTCTTCTTCCACATACGCTCATTGCGAGAGCGCTTTCGACCCCATCAGCCCACAAGTCTGTCGACTGGCTCGATCACTGCAACAACTCTGCTCTCGAACGGCGAGCGAAGCAGCGCATGCATCTCGTCCGCCCGTCTATCGTCTCAACGCGCACGGCCAACTGATTTCGGCATCTGCATCCGCATGGCACAAAGGGCCGAGGTCGCTCTTTCACACTACCTTCACGTTGAACGTCTAGGCCTATTGCGCCGACGGAGCATACCGAAGCATGGCTAGCACAGACGACTACAGGCGTCGAGCCGGCGCTCTTAGAGACGACAGCGAAGACCCTTCCGCAAGCGACGAGGATCAATTTCTCTCGGAAGGCGAGGCCGCAATCTACCTCGACGGAGATGACGACGAGGAGGACGACGAATATGAAGACACGCTGCTACAAGATGCGCTGGAGGAGATGGTGGCGCAAGCAGAGGCGCGAGACTCGTTCGGCAACCAGTTCGACGACTCGGAAGGCGATTCGGAATACGTTCCCTCCGACGACGACGGCTCCGTATACCAAGACCTCGTTCAGGACGCAGGTGGGCTCGAGATCGAGATGGCCGACGACGATGACGACGATGACGAGGGTGAAGACGACGCAGAACAAGATGATGGCGAATCCATCACCATCGACATTCGCGATCTTCTGCGCGCGCATCTCGCCGCCAGCAACGAGGACGACGAAGGCGGCGATGCGGGAGCGCTCAACACCAGAGCAGCCATCTCTCGCGCGCTCAACAGCATTGGCATCAGCGGCCTGCAGCGTCTCCTAGCCGCAGCCACGGGCGGCGTGGTCAACGAAGACGACGATGAGCTCGAGGACGAGGATGACGAGGATGAGGACAACTGGTACCACATGGCACGCTCCAAGCCAATGGCTGACTTCTGGGAGCCCATCGAAGAGCCCATGCGCTCAGGTCAGGAACTGTCGCTGAGCGGAGAATTCGGTCGCCAGCCCAAGCGCCCGCTCGACGCTCCGCCTTCTGCGTTTGAGGAGAGTCGCAACCTGTCGGATCTGGTGCACCAGCGCAAATATGCGCGTCGGCGCATGCTCAAGCAGGACATGAGCGCATTTGTGCCCAACACCAACGGCACCATCGTCGCCACGTACCCGGCGCGCGTCTACTGCGGGCAGTACTCGCAGGATTCGTCGTTCTTCTACACGTGCACGCAGGACTTCCGCGTGCACATGTACGACACCACCGTCGCGGGACCTCGCAGCGTGCAGGTGCACGACGACGGGCCGAGGCGCGTGCGCAACGGCAGGTTCTTCAGCTTCATGGGCACCACGCACTACACGTCGCTGCAGCAGACCAAGAGCGTTCAGGGTAGACAGGGCGCCCATACCATCACCGACGCGCATCTTAGCCCGGACAACCAGTGGATGATCTACTCGAGCATCACGCCCTTTGTCCACCTCGTGCCCACCAAGCAGACGTTCGAGACGGGCGGCGGCACGCCCAACGATAACCAGGTCATGCTCGATTTCTCCAATACGGATGATGACACAGGGGTAAGATGGCGCTCAGCGGTAAGATCCCCCGAGGCCATTGCCACAACTACGAACTGCCAAGCTGACTCCTTCCAAACCTTGATTGCCTTGTAGATCTGGTCGATTCGATTTTCGGGCGACTCGCGCGAGATTGTGGCGGGTGCGCACTTTGGCGACATCTACGTGTACGACATTGAAGCGCGGCGGCGGGTGCTGCGGGTCGAGGGCCATTCGGACGACGTCAACGCGGTGGCGTTTGCGGACGCAGCGTCGTCCAACGTGCTCATCTCTGGCTCGGACGACTCGTTTGTCAAGGTATGGGATCGACGCTCTCTGTCGGGCGGCAAACCGGCGGGCGTATTGATGGGTCACACCGAGGGCGTGACGTATGTGTCGCCCAAGGGCGATGGACGGTACTGCATTTCGAACGGCAAGGACCAGTCGTGCAGGCTGTGGGATCTGCGCATGATGCACAGTTCGGCCAAGTTTGAGCGCATGACGCACCTCGACTATGGCCTGCGCAACTGGGACTATCGCAACATGTCGTACCGACAGCCGCGCTACCAGGCGCATCCGCAGGACTGTTCCGTCATGACGTACCGTGGCCATGCGGTGCTCAAGACGCTCATCCGATGCCACTTCTCCCCCGCCGAGACGACGGGGCAAAAGTACATTTACTCAGGCAGTGCGGATGGCAAGATCCACATTTGGAATCTGGACGGTACGGTTGCACAGGTGCTGGATCGGTCGCAGGTGCGCCCGTTGTACGCGGAAAAGGATCCAGCCAACCAGGTACATGCGTACAAGGCACCAGGTACAGCCGATGACGATGACGAGTCGGAAGACGATGACTTGGACGTCTTCCGTCCACCGGGGATTGCATCGGATCCGTCAGCGCCACCAGTGCCGTGGTTCAGGCGCAAGCATCCGCGACGCCATGGGGCTGCGGCAACCGACGCCTCGGCGGGTGGAAGGGCGAGCAGGGTCGCAGGTCGAGGTCACAGAGGCACGGGCGGCGGCGCAGCATGCACCGTACGAGACGTGAGCTGGCATCCGCAGGAACCGAGTCTCATGAGCACCGCCTGGGACGGCGCCGAAGGCGAGTCCGGCAGTATCGCCAAACACGAACTCGCAGACTGGTCCAAACGCCACATGACGCTCGACGACATTCGCGAACAGAACCACCTCGAGGCCCAGGGTTAGCCCCCACACCCTTCATGCAACCTCATCATCCTACCGTCATCGCGCGTTCTCACCGAACATCGCACAGCACGGGCAAAACACAGCATGGGCAAAAATAAGCGGTCTGGATGGCGATGAGAGAGGCCAACGTTTGTTGCGGGATTCCAATGCGCGAAAGAGAGGGCGCGCGGATGCGGATCAGGGAGTGGACCAGCCGGCGAGTTCGACGACAAAGCTGGCCGACAGACGGACGAACTGCATGAGGTGGTCGAAGCTGAACTCGGGATGGTCAAAGGTGTCCTGGGTGGTGTGGATGCGCTTGAGGTTGCTGTTCTCGAACGTCGCCTCGATGGCAAACGCTGAGTCGGCACCGATCTTGGTCCAGCTGGCATGGTCGCTACCTGCATAGCCCAGCTTGGTCTCGGTATAGCCAATGTCGAGGTACTCGTCGACGAGCGAGCCGATGAACTTGGTGAGTGGGGCCGAGACAAAGTCCGAGACGAGGCCGACGGTTTCCTTGGTGCCCTGCTTGACGAAGGCGGTCATGTCCTGCTGCAGCATGGCGTGCACCTTGGTGGCCTGGCGTTCGTACGACTGCGCCACCGCCTGCGAGCCGAGCAGTCCGCCCTCTTCGGCGCTGTACCAGTGCAGCTCCACATCCGTCTCGGGACGCCACTTGGACTCGAGCAGCACGCGCAGCGCCTCGATGATCGTCACGGTGCCCGAGCCGTCGTCGTCCGCACCGGGCGCAGCAAAGAAGGGGAAGAGGTTGGTGGAGTCCTGGTGCGCACCCAGGATGGTCACGCCGCGGTCCTTGGTGAGCGTGGCGTTGGTGCCCTTGACAGAGAGCAGGATGGAGTTCTGGCCCCAGGCGTGCGGGAACTCGCGCACGCTCACGTAGTCGTACGACGCCACGAGCTCGGACACCGTCTTGAGCAGCCACGCCTGCGAGTCGCGACCCGTCGAGCTCTTGTAGTATCGCGTGTGGAAGCTGGTAAACTTGGCGAGATGCTTGCGCGGGCCGTCCTGGGAGATGAGCTTGAACACCTTCTTGAGCGCCTTGTGGTGCTGCAGCTTGCTGGGGAACTTGGAGTCACTGCCGACGAGGCTGTTGGAGCCTTGCGCCTGCAGACGCGCTGCCGAGAGCTCGCCGAGCGTGGGCGTGTCGGTGAGGTCCATAAAGTGGACGCCGCGGTACCACAGCAGCTGCTTGCCGAACTCGGTGGTCCAGTACGGCTGCTGCTCGGGCGCGGTCTGGACGAGGCGCGGCGTAAAGAGGTCCGAGAGCGAGCTGGTCAGCCCGCCGAAGAGCGAGCCAGCAAAACCGCCGGTGGACACGACATCGTGGATGGGCAGAGCCGATGCGCCGAGCGTGGACGTGGACAGTGCCACCGCAACGGCGGCGATGGGGATGGTGAACTTCATCGTGGGTCTTGAGGAGGTGGATGTATGTTGATGTTGCAGATGATGGAGGTGAGACAAGTCGGAGGAGGTGAGCAAAGGCGCATACAGCCAGGGTGTTCCTTTCGCTGGAGAGAGGAGGGCCGCGCAGGAGGGCGCATACATCGAGGGTTGGGTGGGTGAGCGAGTGGGTCTGTGATCTGCGACCTCTGCTCGGCTGGGAGGCTGCCGCATTGAGTCAGGGTGCAGCTGCGCAACACTGTTCCAGTGCCCGTCACAGTGTGGAGGTTGAGCAGCCGCCTAAAGCCCCACCAAACTCCTCGGCGTCATTTCCGGCTTGCCTTGCGTGCCGTAGCTGCCAAGCTCTAACATTGTCACAGTTGGGCCACGCCCAACTCCGCCCCTCGACGTCACATCACGAACGACGAGCGACACCATGAACATAAGATGCGGTGAACGTATAAAGATTGCAACGTATACGACGACTAGAGAAGACGCATACCGGCTGGCCCACCCTCGGTCTCCTTGCGGCCGCGCTCCGCCTTGGTCTGCTTCTTCTTCTCGCTGGCGAACGCCTGCTTGGTCTTCATCTTGCGCTCCTTGCGCTCCTTCTTGTTGGCCTTGAGTGCGTCCTTGCGTGCCTTTCTGTCCTCTTTGCTCTCGTTGCGATCTCGCTTGGTGGTCACCGCGATCGTCGACAGCCTGCGCGCCAACTCGCCGCCCTCGGTGGCGTCGGAATCGTACTCGTCGCCGTCGCCATCCTCGGTATCCGAGCCGGAATCGCTCGCTCCCGACGGCGGACCCCTGCCGTCATCCTCGTCCTCCTCTGCGTCCTTGCCTTCTGCATTCTGCTTCTGCTTGGCAGCTCCGCGCGGTTTCGAGTATCCGACGATCTCGGGGAAGCCCGTGCGGGGGTTGATGCGGATCTTGGGCAGGCGTTCTTCGTCGTTGAGAAACGCCGACGCCGACGGACGCTGGCTGGTGTAGCTCGTCATGCTTGGCGCCATGCCGTTGCCCAGCATGGCGCGATTGACGCCGCCGTTGCTGCCACCCACCACGCTGCCGGGACGGAAGACGGACGCATTGCTGCCGCCAAAGACGCTCTCCTTGGCCGTGATCGTCCGAGGGTGGTTCTCCAGATTCGTCTTGGTACTCTGGATCGTCTCCACGTCCCACTTTTCGCGCATGTGGCTGCGCGGCACAGGGTCCACGATCTCCTCGTCGGGCGACTCGTAGTCCTCGTAGTCGCCCAGATCGCCCTCGCCCTTGCCTTCGTCCTCGCCCTTGCCTGCCCATTCGCGGCCGTCGATGCGCGCACGGCCGAGCGCCTGTCGCAGAATGGCGAGCTTCTCGGCAGAAGTCGAATCAACGCCGCCGAGCGCTTCGCGCAGCTTGCCGTGCTTGGTCTCGTATCTCGCGAGGAAGTCGTCCATGATGCCTTCAAAGTCCTCGCGCGTGACCGGCTCGCCCGCTTCGTCGCCGTCCGAGTCGACAAACTCCTCGTCCTCGAGCTCCTCAAGCGACGGGTCAAAGTCCTCGCGAATGCCGTACTTGCGTCCGAGCTGTGCGAAGCGGTCGTCGAGATCAGTGAGGCCCTTGTTTCGGAACATGGCCGAAGACGACATGGACCACGCCGTGCTGCCTCCGCCGATCGACGGCGCTTTGGTGCTTGCGGCTCGGCGTGCGAGCGCGCCTGGCTTTCCCTTCTTGCCAATGGCCGTACCGCCGGCAGTATACATGGTGCCCGCTTGCGAGCCAGCAACTCGCGAGCCGCCACGGAGCGAGGCGAGCTGGTCGCGCTCTTCGTCGTCGTCTTCGCCGTCGTCCGAGCTGGGTCCGGCCCTGCGCTGCATCTCCTGCTGCTTCTTGAATAGCGCCACGCGCGCTTCGAGCGACATATTCTCCTCGCCAAGCTCGTCCCGTTCCTTCTCTGCGCGCGCGGCCGGGTCGGCCCAGATGGCCTCATCGCCGCCCGGAGCATCGTTCCTCCACTCGTCGTCCTGACGCACCACGCCGTCCCACTCGCCGTCCTTGACGACCTCGCCAAAGAAGTCGTCGTCCAAGTCGTCGTCGACGAAAGCTTCGTCGTCGAGCGCCTCTAGTGCCTGCCGCAGATGTGGGTCCATCTCTGGCTGGAACCCTTGCAGAGAAGGCTCGACGGCCAGATGCGACGTGAAGCTAAACGGCATCTCCTTCTGCGATGGCAGCACCGACGCTGGCAGGTTGAGCTTGCCATCCTGCACCTCCTCTGCCCCGTCCTTCAAGGCAAAGCTGGCGTCCTTCTTCTCCTTGCCCTTGCCCTTGTTGGCGCTGGCAGAGACGAGGATGGTGTCGACGGTCTCGTCGACGTTCTCGCCGCCGCGCTTGACGTTTTCGTCATCCTTGATGGGACGCAGATGCTGCATGTAGTCGTACTCGGTGTCGTCAAAGTAGATGCCGTAGTTGGCTGCCTCGCCGATGTTGCCACGGATGGGCTTGCCGTACTTGTCGCGGATCACCGTGGCGTCGGCCTCGAGCTCGGCGCGCGTCTTGCCCTTGGCTCTCGACTGGTTGGCGGGGTCGTAGGAGAGCAGCACGTGTGCACCGGCATCGGGATCGTTGATGAGCGGATCACGCTGCGAGCGATGCACGAGCTGGAAGTGCTGTGCATTCTCCGAACGCCATATCGACTTGTTCTTGGTCTTGGACTTGGCCGGCATGCTGGGCTATGTAGCGACCGCCACTCGCCTCGTCGGTGCGTTTCAGGAGGGGTTCCTTGGAAGGCAGCCGGTCTTATGAGTCTGTTTCGGCTGCTCGATGTGTGTGCGAAGCGGACTGTGATGCTTTCGATGTTTCCGAGCCGTCCGGTTCGGTAGGAGCTGATGGGGTTGTTGATGGTGTTGGTTATGACGCAGACCTCACCAGCGGGGCTCAGCACCCAATCTTCCAGAAAATTTTGGAGGAGCAGGCGGAGGCCGAGGCGGCTGCCGACTTTTTTTTGGAGGCAAAAAATCCCGAAATGCGAAGGCGTTCAGGGTGCAGCAGCTTTCCTGGCTCTTCTCAACAACCCTCGCAGTTGTCGAGCGATGATTTCTCGATTTGCTCCACTCGGTCTGCTGCTTACATAAGCCAGATTTGACGTCCATCATTTCTCAGAAGTCACCCTCCCCTCCCCTCACCTCACGTCCATCCTCCACCAACTCATCCTTCCTTCCTTCGCCACAGCTTCACACTAAGATGGTCGCATCGACGACATCTGCATCAAGCTCGCGGCTTTTGCTGCCGGGTCAGCCTCTTTCGTCCACGCTTTCTACCAAGCCAGGGCAACCGCAGCTCGAGCTTGGACTGGGCACATACTCTCGCGGCGACTACGTCCTGTCCTCGCTCGTCGGCTACGAGACTCGCACTCCGTCCACATCGGCTTCTGCGCCATCATCGTCTTCTCGCTCGCAAGTACCCAAGACGGAGACAGTCTCGATCAGCGGTGTGGAGAATCGCTTTGTGGTACCGCGGCCTGACTCGACGGTGATTGCACGCGTGACGCGCGTGACGCCTCGCCAGGCGTACCTGTCGATCCTGATTGTCGACGGCCAGCCGTGCGGCTCTTCGTCATCCACCTCGTCTACATTCGTACAGTCAGGTCTTGGCAACCACGCAGCAGGCGAAGGTGAAGGGATCGACTTCCAGGGCGTTGTTAGGAGTCAGGATGTGCGCTCGACGGAAAAGGACAAGGTGAAGCTCGCAGACTGCTTCCGTCCCGGCGACATTGTGCGCGCAACGGTCATCAGCCTCGGCGACGCTCGCAGCTACTACCTCTCGACGGCAGCAAACCATCTAGGCGTCATCTACGCCCTCTCCGCAACATCCGCAGGCGAATCATCCAATGCCCACCAGGGCCCCGGGTGGAACATCGCGGGTAACCAAATGGTCCCCATCAGCTGGAACCAGATGATCGACCCCATCACCGGCATCGTCGAGAACCGGAAATGCGCCAAACCCGACTCCATCTAGCCTTTCCTCGACCGCACCTGTACACTAGCCTCCTCCCCCTTCCACAACAATCCATCACATCGCAGACTCAAACATCACAGACCCAAATAGTCCCATGTCCGCATCGAGTGAGTCAAAAAAAACATTGATTTCCGTCTAAACAAATGGGTCGTAACGCAACACCACGCCAGCCTCCGACACTCGCGATGGGTGCGAAAGCGAGAGAGGCTGGGCGTGGGTTGCATCCGTAATTCCTCTCCTCCGTATTACACTTTGTTGGCGGGCGGGATTCGTGATTGGGGGGGATCCAGTGTCTGTTTTTCATTCAGTCCTTTCGGTGGAAAAGCGAGTTCTTGCGCTTGCTGTCTTCGCTCATGACCTTGACGTGCGGGTGGTCGGCCTGTTCGCCTGGCTTGCCGTCCTTGACGATGTGCGCACACGTGCGGATGCCCTTGAGCCAGTCGTCGCCATGGTCGTCGTCGTCCTCGAACTCGGTGAGTCCGATGGAGCCCAGCCCGGCCGCGTGCGCGTCGCGGCTGATGCCGTCGATGGTGCCGCTGCGCGGCGACACGGTGCCCGAGCCTTCCGGATGCGCCTGCGCATGCGCGCCGTCGATGGCAGACCGCAGCATGTCGGTGCTGTTGCTGCGCGACATGACGGGCGTGCGCGTGAGCGGGCTGTCCGTATCGCTGAACCGACGTCCGCGTAAAAGATCGCCCAGCGTGCATCGCAGCGAAGGCTCCACCGCCATCATGCGCGAAAGCGCAGAGCGCGTCTCGCGCGGCAGCAGTCGGAAGATGCTGTCGGCCGCACCGGACGTGTACGTGGTCTGCGACGACGCCGACGACACGCTGTCGCTGCGGTGCTGATGCGGACGCACATCATCAAAGGCGCCGCCTTCCGCACTGTCGCCGAGCGTGGAACTCGGCGAGGAGACGACGGGAGACACTGCGCCGGGGCTGGCGACAGGTGCGCCGCCGCTGCCGTTGCCGTCTTCGCCCAGCATCTTGTGCGTGTCGAACGAGTCGCTGAGCGACGGCGAGTGCGGGTTCGAGTGGATCGAGTGCGGCGTCATGTAGCCTGCCTCCTTGGCCGATCGGATCTGCGGCGTGGCGGCATCGTCGGAGCTGGTGACCGGGTCGATGGACGACATGCCGAGCGTTCTGCGGATGGCCGACACGTCGTTGCCCGAGTTGACGCGGCTTGCGAGCGTGCTCGACGTTGTGCTTCCCTGTCGACTCGGCAGACCGTCGCTCTTGGCCTCGGATGCGGGCGGCTTGCACAGCTCCGGATGCGAGTTGACAAATAGACGGAAGCTCGGGTCGGTCTTCATGTCCGGCAGCTTCCAGGGGAAGCGGCGCAAGATCATGCACAAGAAGATGATCGCACAGCTCCACACATCCGTGAGGCGCGGATCGTAGGTCTGCTGCGACAGCACCTCGGGTGCGAGGTAAGGGTCGGAGCCCACGACTCCGGTGGCGACCACCTTGGTCTTGCCTGGCGAGTGGAAGACGGTGGCGGTGCCAAAGTCGATGAGCTTGACAATGTTGCCCGTGGTCATGACGCAGTTGTCGAGCTTGAGATCGCGATGTGCGAGGCCCATGGAGTGGAGGTAGTCGACACCGTCGCAGATCTGGCGGAAGACGCAGTAGATCTCCTGGCGGCACATCTTGCCGCTCATGACGACGCTAAAGAGGTCGTAGGGGGCGTACTCCATGACCTCGTAGTAGTGGCCGTGGTCGGAGATGATGTCGATGGTCTCGATGATGTTGACGTGGTGGAGGGTGCTGCCGATGCAGAACTCGGCGGTGACCTTCTTGATGTACTCCTTCTCGTTCTCGCCCGGCCTGCGCTGGCGGAACTCTTTGACGGCAAAGACGGTGTGGTCCTTTGAGCGCTTGATGAGACGCACGGTGCCTCCAGCGCCGGAGCCGAGCACCTTGCCCCACTTTCCGTACTTTTTGGCGAGGTGTGCGTGGTCTTCGCCGAGGGGCGGCGAGTCCTTGCCGTGGCGCTTGGGGGTTGCGACGCCGGAGCGGCTGCTGTCGCTGCGGGAGTCGCTGTTGTGGTGACCGATGTGGTTGTGAAGGAACTTGCGCAAGTCGGAGAGGGGGTTGTGGTGGTGAGACGAGTGCTCCTTGTCCTTCTTCTTCTTGTGGTGACCGTCGTTGTCCGAGGGCGAGGCGGCGCCGCTGCCGCTGCCGGAGTGACGGTCGGTGTTGCGCCGCGAGCCGAGCTTGGGGAAGATGAACTGCGGAGGCGTGCTGGAGGCGATTTCGTTGCCGGAAGCATCGACGCCGCGCGCCGATGCGAGGCCGCTGGCGCCGGCACCCTGAACGGGCTGGAAGTTGGTGCCAGTCATGGCGCCGCTGACGACCTTGTTGAGGCTGGACTTGGGCTGGCTCATGACGGGAGAGACGGGTTCGGACGACGCGTTGTTGGGCTGGTAGTGTGCGGAGGAGCCACCGGTGCCGATAGGTGTGGCGACGCCCGAGTGATCTGCGCGCTCGCTGAGACCCAACTTTCTGAGATTGTCGGATCGGATCTTGGCGGCGGACGCGCTGGGCCCTGTGATGGCATCAACGGGGCCGGAGACGATGCCGCTAGAAGCGTCGAGGCCAGCGGTGGATACGGGTGAAGCCATTTGGGCAGGAGAAGAGACGACGTGTGCGTTGTTGCTGGCGACGGGTGTGGGCAAGTCGGATGTCGAGGTGGCGCTGGGCTGTGTGGACGAGGCAGCCTGGCCGCGGGGTGAGGTGGTGTAGCCGGGAGCGGCCGAGTTCTCTCGGAGCGTCATCTGATTTGTCTGCGTGGCGAGATGGACGACGTCGGCGCCTCGACGCTCCTGATCGGGCTCGGTGGCGTGGTGGACGATGGGGTCCATGGGCTTTGACGACAGCATGTTGTGGAGATGTGTGTCGATCCAATGCTATGACGTGGCGTAGGTAAGGGAGGGAGAGTCGCAGCGAAAGACGGACTGGACGGACTGACGACTGGCGACTGGCGATGGGCCGAGAGAGGGGACGGTCGGGAGCAATCGCGTAGCCGTGTGCGTGTACGGTCTCGGTTGTGAGTGCCCGAAGCGGAGGTATAGAGAGGGTGGGACGAACCTTGGTTCGGAAGTAAGGGCGGCGCGTGGGTTGGGGGGGTAGGGTTTGGTCCAGGCCGGCCACTTCTTGGCACTAGCGGCTCCGTACGCCGACGGGAGACGGAATGCAGGATGCTTGTAGGATGCTACGAGCGTCCAGGGACGTGCAGGTAGCTCAGCTTGCCACGCGAGGAAGAGCTAATTCGGGCGGTGAGCTGATCGTGCAGCGTCGAAGCGAAAGGCGAAAAGCGAAGGACGACCGAGAGTTCCTCATCCAGTGTGAGCGGGGGGGGCCCGATTCGACGTAGCGGCGAGATGAAGCCGAGATTGCCGCCAGAGATGTAGCAAGGAGCAGAGCGGTGCTGGAGATGGAAGACGTAGACAAGCGATGGTGATGGTGGGAAGGCGAGGTGGAGGCAACATGCACAGTTGGCGGGTTGAGGTGGGGGGAGGAGGAGGAGGAGGAAGCGGCCGAGTCGTAAGTGCCGCTGCCATGCTGGGGGAGCAGCCGCCGCAGCGGGAGGCGGCCACCTAACCATCCGGCATCCGCACGAGCATCCGAGGCAGCAGCAGCAGCAGCAGCAGCAGC